CGCTATTTCGCGATTTTATCGGACGATTCGTACATGTCTACCTAGACGATATATTCGTCTATTCGGACACGCTCAAAGAACATGAGCAACACCTGGCCCAGGTGTTCGAGGTATTACGGAAGGCGAAGCTCTTCCTAAGCCGCAGTAAATGCGACTTATACTCGAAAGACTTAGATTGTCTTGGCCATCGTATCGATGATCGCGGACTACACGCCGATACCGACAAAATGAGTCGTATCCGGAGTTGGCGCACTCCTCGATCGTACCATGAGGTACAACGATTTCTAGGGCTAGTGAATTACCTAGCCCATTTCATGCCTGATGTCACGGCGTATACGTCGCCTCTGTCTGCGATGGTCCGCAATGACCAACCATTCGTATGGCGTACGCTACACGACAAGTGTTTTGAAGCTATCAAAGCTTTGGCGTGTAAGGTGCCCATTCTCAAGCCAATCGACCCTCGATTGCCCGAGCCGATCTGGCTCATCTGCGATGCTTCCATCTACGGAATTGGGGCCGTGTACGGCCAGGGCAAGGACTGGCAAACCTGCAGGCCCGCAGGATTCTTGTCGAAGAAATTCTCCTCTGCACAGAAGGCGTACCATACGTACGAGCAGGAAGCACTCGCCATCATGGAGGGACTCCTCAAATGGGAGGACAAGCTCCTCGGACGTTCCATACACGTCGTAACCGACCATAAAGCGTTGGAATTCTTGCAGGGCATAGAACGCCCGAGTCGTCGCCAAATTCGTTGGTACGAATATCTGGCGCGATTCAAGTACGATATCACGTACGTACCCGGGAGACTCAACAAGGTAGCGGACTGTTTATCTCGTTACCACGAGAATGATAACTATCATGACGAGATTCCTGACTACGATATGGTCAACGCCGATGCGCGTTTGGATCCGGACGGGGATGACCTTCCCCAATCCCGACTCATTGAACTACGAGGAGGACGTATTCTACGTCGTACCCGCCAACAGGCAGCTCGCGAAGCCCGTACCACGGACGCTCCAGTCCCGACGGACCGAGTAGAGGCTCGAGTAGTTGAATCCGAGCAGTATGCTCATCATCAACCCACTTCAACTACCCCCGACGTGAATACGTCCGAGCCAAAATCACCGACACTTGCGGAAGCATTGGCTAGTGGTCCGTCCCTACGAAAATACGTAGAATCGGATGATGGCTTCTGGCAAGCCATCCGCGAAGGGTATACCGCCGACAGAGCACTGTCCAAGGTATTAGGCAACCCAGCGGGGTTTAGTTCCTTTGCATTACGCGACGGCATTATCTACACCAAGAACCGTCAAGACGAGGAAGTCGTCTGTCTTCCCCGGGCCATCTACAAGGGCCGCTCAATTCCCGAGCTGATACTGAATCAAGCGCATACGGCTCTGGGACACCTCGGTCCTCAACGTACGTCGGAGTACGTACGACGTTGGTTCTGGTGGCCGGCGTTGCGGAAGGATGTAGACAAATATTGTCTCAGTTGTGGCACCTGCCACACCGTGAAGTCGTCCACCCAGTTGCCATCAGGGTTGCTACACAACCTACCCATTCCACGACAACCGTGGACGTCCACCTCGATGGACTTCGTTGGTCCTTTTCCGTCGTCGCACGGCTACGACTACATTTGGGTGATAGTATGCCGTCTGACCTCAATGGTCCATCTCATTCCCGTGAATACTACGAATACCGCCGACGAGCTGGCTATGATATATCTGCGTGAAGTCGTCCGGCTTCATGGACTACCCGAGTCCATAGTCTCAGATAGAGACAGCAAGTTCACATCGAAGTTCTGGAGAGAACTGCATCGACTCATGGGAGTCAAATTAATGATGTCCACCTCTTTCCATCCTCAGACCGACGGTCTGACGGAACGGACTATCCGTTCCATTACTCAAATTCTGAGGGCATTGGTCTCTCCGGACCAGCTCGATTGGTACGAGAAGTTACCACTAGCGGAATTCGCGCTGAATTCAGCGACGAGTTCCACTACGGGCTTCGCACCGTTCGAACTGAATTACGGATACTTGCCCCGGTCCATGAGTGGAATTCGAACGGATACTCCGTTTCAGGGAGTGCGCGAGTTCGCCCAGCGAGCTCTGGCTAACCTCGAACGCGCTCATGACGCTATTATCGAGTCCCGGATCTCCCAGGCTTATCACGCCAACAAACACCGGCAGGCTGAGCCGGAGTTTGAGGTCGGCGACCTCGTATACCTGTCCACGAAGAACTTATCAGTTCCGAAAGGACGTGCACGAAAGCTTGTGCCCAGGTTCATCGGACCATACAAAGTCCTCGAAAGTTTTCCGAACACGTCGAATTACGTGCTAGACCTCCCACCGGAGCTTAAGAACCGACGCATTCACCCGCGTTTTCATGTTTCCCTACTGCGGAAACATGAGGCAAACGACGATGCGTTGTTCCCTAAGCGGGAGGCCCGCGCATTCTACGACTTCGGAGCGGACGATACCGCGGAATGGTTGGTGGACGAAATCGTCGGGCACGAATGGACCGGACAAAAGTGTCAATTCCATGTGCGGTGGACGCTCGGAGACCACACCTGGGAACCTTACGAGCACTGTAAGGACTTGGCCGCACTAGACGAGTATTGTCGTCTTATGGGTGTCAAGAACTGGCGCAGTTTACCCCGTAAGAAGTAGTTGCAGCCGCAACTAAACACTTAAGTAAGTGTTGGTCGGGGGCGACCGCAGGGAACGGAGCAGAGTAGACGCGCGTCGGCATGGACGAGCGCGATCACGTGGGCGCGAGACGCGACGCGTCGCGGGGATCTGGCAGATCGGGCAGAGATTCGAACTCCGCCGGCGCTCGCGAGCTCGCCGTCCTAAGCGGTGAGCTCGCTATGTCGCAAGTCGATCTCTGCCACCTCACCACCATCCACCCACAACGCACCCGCCCGCGACATCCACCATGTCCAACCCCTCCTCGCCCACTTCCAACCAGACCGAGATGGTCTTGGACCCGGCGGCGCAGAACGCGCCTCAGCAGCAAGGCGCTGCGATGCAGCCGGACTCAGCTGGGTCCCAACAACAGCTCCCCGCACCGTACCAGGTGCCCAACCAGTACGCAGGGGCGGGACCGTCGCATGCGCCACTACACCCGATGGCGCAAGGCGGGTTCCCGCACGCGTACGCCTCCCCGTACGGGGCACCGCTCCCCTACCAGCACCAGTCCGCCGCCAACAGGATCCCTCGGCCGCACTGCACCCAACGGTGCAA